AAATGGAGGCTAAGAATTATCCTTACCAAATGAAACTCTATCCGCTAGTCCAGGCTTCGTCCATGTGCGTGGGCGGGACGGGTCAGGGGCTAGAGGGCAGAGTTTAGTGACCTTACAGAGGGTCGCGCTTTTCATTAGCTCGTCAGTCTTGTTTGCCGGCCATTGCGTCAAACTGACCAGTCGCGAGGCCTAACCGGGCGTCATTTTTGGTCCTCGGGGCTGGGGGGGGGGGATGCGACAGGGTGGACAATGGGAACCGGGGGGTTGGTGGGTTGAGGGAGGGGGCGAGTAGGGGTTCGGCAAGCTGAGACAATAGGTTAATGGAGAATTTGCTGTCATCAGTGTTGTCATAATCAAGAGAAATGATTGGGGGTTTTCCTTGATTAGAGTGTGCGGACAAGAAGAGATGAGTCCTTTGGCTTTGGGAACACGCTTGCCCATTGAAGATGTCCCGAGAAGTTGTAAAAGATTTAGTATAATCTCAATGGTCGGGACGTCGGACGCACTTACCAGAGGTCGAAGGTCATTTAATACGTCTTCAGTGGCTACTGAAATGAAATGTGGTTGTTGTTTTTTTAAGTCAAGGCGAAAGCAAAACAAAAACACACACACACAAAAAGGATGGGGTGGGGGGGTGTAATCTGTTGGTAAGTTGTTGTTTTTTTCATTGATCTACTCGGGAAAATTCATAGAGATTTATTTCGGCAGTTGGAATCATCTTGGCACATACAACACAATGATCACACTGTTGGGAGATGGTGTCCAGTGTCTATGAAAAAAAGGCTCATCACCACAACATACACTTTCTCCAAAACCACGCAGTTGTAAGGATTAATCAGCGCCGTGAAAGAAACATACCTCATCGGATAAATAGCAGCAACCGACCATCGAACATGCGTAACAGATTACTGTGGGCTGTGTTCAAGTGTGCCCACTTCATCTTCAATTTCAGTACTATCTGTAGATATGGCATTTTAAATGTGGCACTTTTTTCGGAATGGATCAAAAGGTGTAACATAATTGTATTTATTTTTTTTAAAAAGGTCTCATAGAGGCCTGCCTACCAGTGATGTATGAAAGGGGTGGAGGGGGGCGAACCACCGCTTGCCCCTTTTTTTTTCGTTTAGCCAAATACTGGTACGTAGTTGCCAACATGGCAGATGGGCCAACCAGCTTTCGGCGATGCTAAGGCTCGCATTGAGCCAAATGATGTCCGGCATCAAATATTTGAAGTCCGCGGCTTGACCACAAGGGGTCATCTTGGGTGACAAAATGGGGGTCACCGAGGGTACGGTCAGTCGACAAGAGACGGTGTTGTAATGCCTCTTCCTGATGACATCCGACTTTAATCAGACCGGAGCTATTTTTAGACGTCCCTGATTGAATTACATGACAGAAGTTTTAAGAAGTATAATTCTTCATGTTGAACTATTTCTTTGACTTAAATTAAGACTACAAATGTCTAAATAAGTGTTTTTTTCACAGCCACCGTTTTTCGTTTAAATTAACATAATGCAGAATTGTTCGAGTGGTCAGAAAACACAAGCCTCCATTACAAGAAAAACATCATCTAACTTCATGTTGAACCATTCAACATTTACAACCGTGTCCGTCAATGACAGGGAAGGCTAACCCGTGGACTGGCACGGTAAGCATTGTGCTGCTCCCCGGATGTATTATACACTAACTTTGAACTATGAATACTTCTATTATCATAATCGTAGTTAGTAGTAGTAAATTATTGAATGTTGGAGTGAGATATCGGTAACTATGAAAGGTAACTGAATTTTTTTTTTTATACCGTAATAAATTATGTGTTCCTTTATATCAGCGGCTCTCAATCTGTGGGTCGCGACCCCTTGGGGGGGGGGGGGTCGAACGACCCTCACACAGGGGTCGCCTAAGACC